CCTCGGTTCATTGTCTCAGTGAGGCTCTGGGACTGTGGCTCTGCGATAAGTATAGTAATAATAAGAGAAGGGTAACCTGTAAAATTAAAAATCAAATTTAAAGCTCTTCTTGTTTGCCTCCCCCCATCCCATCAACCAGATCTCATCTCATCATCAAATGTAATTAATTGTAAAACCCTCTTTCTTTCCTTCCTCCCCTGTGCAAATTAACTGCAGCAAACAGGCAGGCAGCCATGTCTGATCCAACCTCCCTCCACTTGAAGAAGAAGCTTACCCCAAATCCGAAAAGCGGCTTGCCTCCTCCGTGATCCAGGCACCACCTCCTCCTGGAAGTCCACCTCCAGATCTGTCCTTCCTCCTCCTTCTACTTCCACCCTCTTCACAAACCACTTCAATGCCGCCCATCATCCCCCTCCTCACCTGGAATTGCCCAATACCAAACACAGCGCCGTCTTCTTGCATAACTGGAAGCATCAGAATCGCAAATCAAATCATCAGTTCGATGACGATGACGATGCTGATGCTGATGCTGATGCTGCCTCCTCTTCTTGGGTTCAAGATGACAGCTTTAGCGATGCCAGAAACGGTGCCGATTCCAAGAGTGACACCTATTTACCCGACCCTCGCTCTGCTTCCCTCTTATTCAGGTGCAGGGATACAAATCTTGTCTCTCCAAGACTCCTGCTTGGCTCCAGGAAAAAGGGTAAGCGAAATACTACTACTACATCTTCATATGTTTTATCTACAAACCACCAACTAAAGGATGATTCTGACGAGGATCTCCACATTATCTCATCTGGAGCATCCCCTTTGCTACTCAACCCCAAACCCAAACCCAAACCCAAACCCAAACCCAAGACGACTAAGGCTAGGTTGAAAAAAACTAGCAGAAAGCTGCACAAGGACAACTCTGTCTCTGTCTCTGCCTCTGCCTCTGTCTCCACCACTCCTGCACTCTCAACTAGTTCTTATACTAGGTACTATAATCGTAATCCTCCTAGCAATGTTGGTTCTTGGGATGCCACCACTACTTCATTCAACGATGGTGATGATGAGGTGGATGATCCCTTGGATTTGCCTGCCCGTCATGGATGTGGGATTCCTCGTTATTGGTCCAAGAGACCCCCAAAACATAAAACCTTGAGTAGGGTTGTTGCTCTCCCTCCCTTTCTGATACTCTAAGGAGGAAAGGCACTAGCATTCTCTGTGGAACTCAGTCAGTATACAATGGACATAGACGTTCTACCTCACTCTCCAAAAAGCGCCTAACCCATCCCCATGCCCAACC